TTTTCCAGTTCATGCCTGCACTCTAGTTAAGAAGAAGGCTGAGCTGTAACTGATGTAATTAGAAACCACAAGCTGAGAAAAAAATAGCCCGTTGGTAATCTCCTCCATTTACTATAAATTTACTAAAAAAAAGTAATGATCTTTGAAACAATTAAATGTGTTTTTCCCTGAGTGAAATTAAAGAGTAGTGATGAGAGAGTGGAGTATAGGATTGTGTTTTTCATAACACCATATCTTAGTTATCAGCTTTAAAATCTAGTATCGGTTTTGAAGAGGACTAGCTCTGCACTTTCATATCACAGAGAGAAGTGGCCATCACCGTAAATGAAAGGTCCTATAGATGGAATCAGGTAAATTATCAGGGCTTCCTCTTTAATACAACTATTACAACCTTTGCAAGCACTGGGAAATAGCATATTTTAAAAACTAGGTGAACTTAACAGAAAGTACGTATGTATGCAGCATTACCTCTTTCCCTCTAAATTTCGTGTAAAACATAATATACACACAATTCACAAAATAATAGAACAACTTTTCAACTCTCAAAGGGAACAGAAGCCAAGCAGGCATCCTTCTGCAGCATGTCAGAGGTTGGGGGAGCACTGGCCAGGGAGTCAGAGAACCTGAGCTCACAGTCTAGTCCTACCCATGGCTGCAGATTAGCTTCCCTGCTGCCTGTGAAACTAAGTGACAATGCACCCACCAAACTTATTCCCTTCCATTACTTACAGAGTTCAACTGATAAGCAAAGGGAAGAAGCATTTTTTTTTGTTTATATTAACAAGATATGCAAAAAGGGAAGAGAAAGAAGGGGTGCATTCAGTCTTATATCCCACTAGGAATGCAAGCAGAATCAGCTCAGGGTCAGGCAGTCCTTCTCCATTGCCACCCCCACCCCATCCCACCCCCAGGACTCCCTGGGCCACAGCATGGCAGCTGGTGGGTCCCCACATTCCCTGCTTGTTTCATGGAGGTCACCATAAGCAACTTGTATCTCAAAGCCATGAATAATAAACATGTCCTTGACACCAGCCCTACCCTGAAACGGGCTCAGCACCCTTTGAAGTACCTCCTCTCCCCTCACTCCTCACCTCCCAAAAAACCTTTCTTGTCTATATAGCAGCAATGGTGATGCTGCAGACTGCTCCCTTGCCCCCAAATTCAGTCAGTTGTGGGAACTTTCCTCCCACTGACATCTCTTCCTAAAGCCTCTCAGAAGTAAGCCAGTGTGCACATGAGGGGCTCACTTACGGATCCCATCCAGAGTGCCACATTTGCTGATATACACAATCCCAACAGTCAAAGTCACTCTAAAACTATGTTTTGACCAAAATATATTCAGTCTTAACACCTCATCATTGTGTGGCTTTTAATTCCCTTTAGTAACAACATCCTGCAGTAAACCCACACACTGGCTAACTCTTTGCTCTCCTCTCCAGTAAAAAAAACATGACCTAGACTTTTAAGAAAACCGCTCTTGTACCTGGGAAATTGTTTAAGCATCCTGTGCCCTAGTTTCTGCATCTGTAAAAACGGGGTAATAACAGAAGGTTGTGAAGATTACTGGAGTAATATTTATTCAATAAACATTAGTTTCCTTAATTCCTCTGTCAGCTGTCTAAATCTCCATGTCCTACCAAAATCATATCAGGGTTTAGTGCAAGGTCTGTTTACTCCAGGGCACACACACGTGTTGCCTTTTTGAGAGAACCAGGAATACACGTTCACCATATAATAGCCAGAGTGCCACGTCCAAGAGGCAAAACAACCTATTCCTCACTTGAACGGGTTCTTTGTTAACAACAGCTCTGCCTTTTTCAATCTTTTTGAGGAGGGAGGTGAGAAGATGGCTGGCATCAAATCAAACACTTCTCTAGGGAATGTCTGTGAACATGCTTTATAAACCAAACAGAAAATAGGGTTACTATCCCATGATCAAGCAAACCATCCCTTCAGACTAGAATTTGGAGGAAGAAAGAATCTGTGGTTTTTGAGCCTGAGTTTGTCCTAAAAGTTGGGAACTCTGGGAACTATAAGGCACAGGTGTCAGTCTCAAAAGTAGTAAGGGTCTCATCTGTTCCTAATCCACAATTACTGGGTTCCTGGAGCCCTGTCAGAATAAGGCTTGCTGGTGTCCCAGAAACTATCCCTTGGTCAGAATGCAACAGAGCAGCGGGGTCAGGTGTGGGTTCCAAAGGCAGGCTGTCTATCTCTTACTACCTGAAGACCCTGGACAGGTCCCTTAACCTCTTCATGTCTCTGCTTCCTCATATGTAAAATGGGGATAGAGTAGAGCACTTAGGATGATTCTACACAAGGCGTGGGGCCCCATTAATGCTATGTTCCCTCCTGTGGTCACCCACACGTGTGCCTCCGTGACAACTAGCACTTGGTGCTGTCTGAACTGAGCCCTGTTTCTAGCGTCACTTCTCAGCACTGCTCCCTGACTCCACTTCCCTTGTCTACACCTGCCCCATCCCATCCTACTTCATCTTTCTTGAGCTTGAAGAAGCAGCAGTCAGAAACGCAGGCTCCTTTCTGGGAGACTGTTTTCCTACCACACTCAGTGCACGATAAGCCAGAGCGCTGAGGGAGGCCTGCTTCCGGCTGGCCCCTCTCACTTAGGAGGACCTGTCAGGCCGGGCCGAGCCCAGCCCCTACTCCTCAGCCAGTAGCAGCCAGACCAGGAGCTCTGCCATCGACACTGGCACCTCAATAACCACCCGGTGCCTCAGTTTCCTCAATTGTAGAAGGAGGGTAATAAATAGAAAGTTGGTTTGAGGGTCAAGGAAACAAAATAGTTTGTAAACCCTAAACGAGTCTACACACTCATTACTTATTATTTCCTCTGTCCCCTCTCCTCTGGCAGAAGCCTATACTCTTCTCTAGGGAAGAATTGTGAGTTACTGTCTGTACTCCATTGTAAATTAATAGGATTTTTATTAAACATAGGTTGGGAAAGGAAAAAAAAGTGACAACACACCCAAACACCTCTAAATGTTCTTGGACAAGTTTCAGTTCTGATGTGAGGGAAAGTCAATGATTGCTTTCTTCATCCCTCTTTAGACACCGAAAGACTCAAAGTTAAGATGAATTCCAAACTAAAACCTGAGCCTATTATTTGTGCTTTTCACAGCGTCATGTATAGGCCTTCAGTGACACTTAACCATTCCTGAGGCTGGGCCAACAGGCAAGCCGACTCCACTGAATCGGGCTAGGGCAGAGAGCCAGGAGAACCACCTGGTGGCAGAGACACAAAGTCCACAATGTAAAAGACAAACCTCTGGTAAATGTAACTTGAGCTGAGAATGTCTACCATCCATTGTCCAGCCTAGTACAGAGCACCAGTGGGCATTTAATAATGGATGCATGAGCGAGAAAAACAATGGAATTTAGCCTTCACAAGACACACTGCAACCATGTAACAGGACTAACCCGTGCATGCACTGGCAAAGACAGTCTCAAGTCTAAAACCAGGTAAAGGTGGCTGGATGCAGTGGCTCATATCTGTAATCCTAGCACTTTGGGAGGTCAAGGCAGGCAGATCACCAGGTCAGCAGTTCAAGAGCAGCCTGGCCAACATGGCAAAACCCCATCTCTACTAGATATACAAAAATTAGCCAGGCATGGTGGCACATGCCTGTAATCCCAGCTACTCGGCGGGGGAGGTTGCAATGAGCCAATATCATGTCACTGCACTCCAGCCTGGGCAACAGAGCAAGACTCTGTCTCAAAAACAAAACCAAACAAAAAACAACAATAAAACCAGTTTAAGGAGTTTAAAGTACAAGTCTTTGATTCAATCCTGCCTGTAGTTGCTACATAGTGACTCTAGGCAAAGCCTGGATACAGAGGCAAAGGGAAGAGCAGCATCAAACACAACCTTTGACAAGTGGTGGCACCAGGACCTCAGCCCAGGCCAAAGGCCAAAGACCCCAGCTTTTAGTGAGCTCCTCAGGAACTCTGTATAATGCAAATGAGTGCTCAGATCCATACATAGGTGCCATGACTGGGTTGGCCACACACACCACACTGCCTTTGAAAACAGAGTTAAGGGCCGGTCGTGGTGGCTCAAGCCTGTAATCCCCGCACTTTGGGAGGCCGAGGTGGGTGGATCACAAGGTCAAGAGATCGAGACCATTTCTGGTCAACAAGGTGAAACCCTGTCTCTACTAAAAATACAGAAATTAGCTGGGCATGGTGGCGTGCGCCTGTAGTCCCAGCTACTCGGGAGGCTGAGGCAGGAGAATTGCTTGAACCCAGGAGGCAGAGGCTGCGGGAGTTAAGATTCCGCCATTGCACTTTAGCCTGGGTAACAAGAGGGAAACTCCATCTCAAAAAAGAAAACAGAGTTAAATACATACGTGATCATCTCAGTAATGAGTCAGGCTGGGCAAAGAAGATGCTCTACAAATTGTCTCTGAAATAGACTTGCATTTGATTCTGGGCAAGTTGTTTTCTCAGATACAAAAGGAATCAAAGCCATAAAGTAGTCTCTGACATTTGCCATTCTACAAACTATTTTGCAGTATGAGAACTTTTTAAAGTAGTCTTGCAGAAGAAAGAATCACAGATGCTCCAGCCTGAAAGGGTAAGATGTGATGGAAATCCCAACCCTGATGGGCATCTCATTAAGGCTAAGAAAAAGGATTAAAGTTTTGGAGTCAATACCACTGCCGGGGAGCTGGTCACAATAATGTCAACACTGCCTTCTCTTCTAGAGCTCCAAGGAGCTTGGCCTCCTGTCTAATTCAGAAACTGGCAGTTAGCCTTGGATTTATATAATCTCTGATAACACACAATGTTTAAGAAAATATTTATACTTAGGATGTGCATCTTTAGCTATATGATTTTTAGAAAGTCTTTCATTTAAAAATATTCCGGGCCAGCCACGGTGGCTCATGCCTGTAATCCCAGCACTTTAGGAGGCCAGGGCAGGCAGATCACAAGGTTAGGAGTTCAAGACCAGCCTGGTCAACATGGTGAAATCCCATCTCTACTAAAAGTACAAAAAAAAAATAGCCCAGCATGGTGGCGCACGCCTGTAATCCCAGCTATTCGGGAGGCTGAGGCAGGAGAACTGCTTGAAGAGGTGGAAGTTACAGTTAGCCAAGATCCTGCCACCACACTGCAGCCTGAGGGACAGCGTAAGACTCCATCTTGAAAAAAAAAAAAAGCTAATAAACGTATCTACCTGAATGAGCCTCCTGCCGAGCAAACTCACTGAAGTTTAAAACGGAACCTAAGGGCCAGGCATGGAGGCTCACAGCTTTTAATACCAGCACTTTGAGAGGCCAAGGTGGGAGGATCACTTGAGCCTGGGAAGTTGAGGCTGCAATGAGCTGTGATTGTGCCACTGTACTCCAAAGTAGGTGACAGAGCAGGATCCTGTTTTTTTTGTTTGTTTGTTTTTAACAAAAACAAAACCCAAGGCTGGGCACAGTGGCTCACACCTGTAATCCCAGAACTTTAGGAGGCAGAGGTGGGTAAGGTCAGGAGTTCGAGACCAGGCTTGCCAATTTGGTGAAACACCATATCTACTAAAGATTCAAAAATTGGCTGGGTGTGGTGGCACTCGCTTGTAGTCCCAGCTACTTGGGAGGCTGAGGCAGAAGAATCACTTGAACCCAGGAGGCGGAGGTTGCAGTGGACCAAACCCAAAACAACAAACAAAAAGAAACAAAAAACTGAACCTATCAACTTCCCCTCCAACAACAAACCTGACCTTCCCTCATCTCTTGGTCTTGAGCCTGGGAACCCTCTTCTCCAAACTTAAGACTACCTCACCTCCCTCCCACATCTAAGCAGCTGCTACATCCTGCTCTCTTTAACTCTGCCATATCCCTCCTTATACACATCTCTCCTTTCCAATGACCCTATCACACCACACCCCCATGTGAATTTCAGTCCTCATCACTTTGCACCTTTTCTGCTAGCATCTAGTGCCCTATCTAGTCCTTTCTCTCTCTGCTTCACTCTACCCAAGTGGCCATGTTATGCTTCCAAAAGCACGTCTCTGACATCTTTCCTAAATAAACAAACTTTAGTGGTTTCTGCAAAGGTCCAAGCTCCCTGACCTGACATTTGAAGGGCAACCTGATTCCCCACTTCTCCCCTGCACTTAAGCCACGTCCTAGCCTCACTCCTGCTCCACGTGCCTGCACAGACCTCCAGGTCCCCTGCCTTTGACACTGAGTTCATGCCAGTCCCACCAACTCTCCCCAGTCTCCACAACTGAACACTTAACTCAAATGCCAACCTCTCCTCTAATCCCTTTAAGAAGAAACAACCTCCCCCTTCTCTAATGCCCACATTACTGTACCTTTCTTGTGCCACTATCACTTTCACCATTCATTATGGATCTAATGACTCCCTTACACACCAGAGGAGGGACCATGTTATGGTTCTATCTTTAAAGCCCTTTGCCTGCCTCTAGTTAAAAGACTTACATGTGGCCAGCACTCAACAAATAGTAGTTGAAGAATAAATGAAAGATCACACTCATGAGACAAAGCCAGCCGATCTGTTTGCTAGACCAATCGTGATCAGCACACTAGGTAAGTATGCATGGAAAGAATGGTAGAGAGGCAGCTCTGGCAAGAGAGAAGAGATGACTGCTGACCCCACATCAAGGAAGGGGCGAGGAAAACTAAGAAGCAGCTGAGGCAGCAGTAGAGAGGGAGTGCAACACCAGAGGCGGCAATGAACCCAAAGCCTCAAGAATGGGTCAGCTTCCTGCAGGCGAGAGAGGAGAATCCACTTGATAAAACTTCCTGTCATCAAAGGTTAGGGGCAAGGGCCTTTGACAGCTGCAAGGGAAGCTTTTCGTCATTTAGAAAATTCATTTATGTGAAACAGATCATTTCTCAATGATGGCAAGTTAATGAGGCATCCTGAATCTACCCTTAAACTCAGTCCTTGGATGAGTATAACTAAACTCCAGACACCAAAAGAAATATCAGAATGACAAAAGCCAGAAGACCAAAAAGATATACAGACTTTTTTTTCTCCATAATGAAGGAGGCCTATTTAAGCTAGTACCTTAAAAAAATAGATAAGGGGTGGCCATCAGATAGGTTTTGGCTAAATCACTTTCATTATTAATTGAGTGAAAATATAAACAACATGATAAGTAAGTTTTACTCCACATATTTAACATTCTAAATCCAACAATGAGCAAATCCACATTCTTCACAGGTGCAAACAAAACATTTATGCAAAATAACCATACACCACTCCACAAAGAAAGTCTCTACAAATTTCAAAGATATGTATCTTTCAAAACCTTTGAAGTCTTAGAGATTTAAGTCTATAGGCTGTGAGAATATGTCCTAAGGGAAAAAACCCTTTCAGTTTTAAAATAATGATCAATAAGAATATAAATTTCACTGACTCTGCCTAACCAACAGGCCAACATTTGGTCACAGTATAATTAATTTCACCCTTAATGTTACTGTTGAAAGTATTTAAATGCCCAGGCACTGACTCCAACCCACACATTCCTCCCTGATCCCACATTCTGAGTAGATCAGGTATTTTCACACTTGGTTCATCTTCAGTGAAGACTGTAATGAAATCTTTAATTTGAAAAAAAAAAGAGTGGAAGTCCAGCACTCACTGCATTATTGGCTGCCCTGGAAGCTCAGGGCAAAGAGCAGTCAAACAACAAATGGCAACCTCAGCTCCTTCAAGCATAAGTAATCTGCTAATTTCAGAAACTACCAGCTCATCTAAAAAGTGACCAATTTACATGTAAAAATGCTTTCCGTGGTTAGGTGCAAGCTTCCTGGGAATCGGAAATGTTATTTTCATTGCACAAACTCTCAGGTTTATGGGCTGCCTGGCCTTTTGATTATACCATCATTTTAAAAGTATAAATTTTAGAACAAGTTTTATTTCATGTCCAAGATGTTGGAAGAGGCCTCTTTGGGAGCCAAGTACTCTCAGGAAGACAATGACTACTGTTAGTCCTTTTTATTTCTTAATCTGTCTCCACAACCAGCTAAAACTCAAGCATAAAAGAAGGCAGTGTGGTGCTAATTTGGTTAGTTAATTCACAGACTGTTTACTGAGCATCTGCTCTGTGCCCAGCACTGTTTTAGATACAAGGGATATGACTGTGAATAAAACAAGGCTCTGTTCTCAGAAGAAAAACACCTGTAATCAGACACACCTGGGATTACATTCTGGCTGGGTCACTTACTAGTTATGTCACCCTGGGCAATTATGTAACAGCTCTGAGCTTCAATTCCTCACCTACTAAAGGAAAACAACAATGTTAAAGGCTGTTGTGATTTAAAAAGGAAATACAGCATAGCAAGCTCCTTAGCTCAGAACAGGCATGGAATAAAGACTGGCACCCTCCCTTCCCGAAATAAGAGAGCAGATAATCATCAAGTGCTTCAAACTGGCACCAGGGACCACCTGAAACAGCATCAGAAGAAGGTGACATTTTTTCTCTATTATGTGTTTGCCTGGTCCTCTGCATCTTCCTCACATCTGTGCTTTTCTGTTCTTAGGTATCCTGTGCCCTCTGGTCCACTCCCAGGGTCTCCTCTCTGCCAAATTACAACTTATACCCTCCTTCAATCTGTTCCAGGACAGTTCTATTCTTGGAGTATACCGCTTGGAGCTCTTCAAAGAAAAGCATCCAATTAAACTAATTCACCCAAGAGGTACATGTAAGCTTCAAGCTGCCAACCCTCTTGATATTTTCATTTGAAAGACAAAGCTCTAGATACTGCAGAGTTGTCATATTTGGGGGCAGGGCAAATTGCTAAAGTGTCATCTCTACATTAAGTATACAGAATGCACTGCTAGGTAAGTGGATAAATCAAGTTTCATTTTTACCACCTCGAGTTTTCATAATTTACAGGAAAAACACATTCTTGCTGATCAAGGTTACTGTCCATGTCTGGTTTGTGTTTCCAGCTTACCAGAGGCTCAGCCTTTCAAAGTGATTTACCAGTGAGCTAATCTCAAAATCATCATCAGTTTCTCTTTAACTCTGCCTTTCAGCTTAACTGGAATGTAGTCCTTACAGCCAAACAGAAATGATTGGTGTTTAAAGAAGAATATATATCAAAATAAATTTATTTTTCTGCTAGCAGTTAACACTCATGTTGTCTAGTGCTTCAGTGAGACTCTAGGATGTAATTATTTGTCAGAAATTTTAATAAAATGAACTTTTAATTATTTCCATTAGGAAATATTACTAGTTGTAATACTGAATCAAATAAAATTGAGAGAAAAGGCAAAGACACAAATATTAGCATTAGTTAACTAATATGCCTGGTAGTAAGGGGGATATACTTTCTATAATCCTAAACCAAGGTCATCCATTTATTTAAAAAGCACTTACAACTTTCTATATTAAAACAACTATGAAACAATAAAGGATGAAACATTTTTGTAATAACAAAAAGTGATAGAGACAGAAAGCATGGATAAAAGGATATCCAAGAAAACAGAGTCATTGCTGGAAACACTGCTTTTCACTTGAACTGTAGGAGTGAGCTGCTTTCTTTAATGAGTGGGGGCTAGGAGATGCTGGGGAAATGAAACGGGAATTCTTAGGAAGGCTCATCTACCAGCCTAAGGCAGGAGCTGGTAAATGCTGACTTGGGGAAGCAGGCTTGTGAAATGCAGCTCAGCCCACATTATTTATTAGCATAATTATTAATAATAATTACTATCATTCATTGAGCCCCTATCATGTTCCAGGCATTGTACTTTATCATCTTCACAAAAACCCTTTGGGGAGGTGGATATAACGTCATTACTTGACAGATTTTAAAAACAGACTCAGAGAGGGTGATTAACATGCCCAAGCTCACACAACTGTGGGCCAGAATTTGAGTATCAGAGCCAGAATTCGTGCTCAGGACCTGAATCCAGGACTGTTCCCAAGAAGCCACAGTGCATCACAACATGCTTGCTGGTTGTAGTCATCACGCTGCCTCCTGCTGACCCAGAGAGCCCCCTGCAGTGAGCTTTCCTCCTCTTCACATCCACAAGTTTGTTGCCCAAGTATCTCTTCAGATAGTTATGATTTTGCTGCAAAAAGACAGCTTTCAAGTCTAAGGCATAAACTGAGTTGCAGGCTTGGCCTTCTAAAAATGAACTGAACAAGGAAATATCCAAGAGACCCAATCCCCACATCTTTCAATCTGCTTTCCAAGCAGAAGACACTTCTGCAATAAAACTACTATGTGATCCAAGAATGCTGCTTCTGAGTGTATATCCAAAGAACTGAGTGTATATCCAGAGATATCTGCACACCCATATTTACTGCAGCTTTAGTCACAGTACCCAAGGAAGGCATGGAAGCAACTTACGAGTCCACTGACAGACAGATGAATATGGACAATGCGCTATATGCATACAATGGAATATAGTTCAGCATTAAAAAGAAGGAAATCTTGCCATTTGCAACATGAATGAACCTGGAGGACACCGTGCTAAGTGAAATAAACCAGACTTGGAAGGACAAGTACTATATGGTTTCCACTTACATGAGAAATCTAAAATAGTTAAACTCATAGAAGCAGAGTAGAATGGTGGCTACCAGGGCTGAGGGAAACGGAAAACAGGGAAGTGCTTAAAGGGTACAGAGTCTCTGCCAGGTGCAGTGTCTCATGTCTGTAATCCCAGCACTTTGGGAGGCCAAGGCAGGCAGATCACGAAGTCAGGAGTTTGAGACCAGCCTGGCCAAGACAGTGAAACCCCGTCTCTACTGAAAATACAAAAAAAAAAAAAAACCTAGGTGGGCACTTATAGTCCCAACTACTCAGGGATCTAAGGCAGGAAAATCTATTGAATCCAGGAGGCAGGCATTGCAGTGGCCTGAGATTGCTCCACTGCACTCCAGCCTGGGCAACAGAGGAAGCTCTCTTCTCAAAAAGAAAAAAAAGGGGGGGGGTACAAAGTTTCAGTTACACAAGATAAATCCTAGAAATGTGTACAGTTTGGTGCCTGCAATTAACAATACTGTATTTACTCACAAAGTTGTATACATTAAATAAGAACAGCTTTCCGTATTGTCAATCATACTTAAGTGTTTTGTGGGGTTCCCCCCCATCCCCTGAGAGAGGGTCTTGCTCTCCCAGGCTTGCAGTTTCAAACTCCTGGACTCAAGCGAGATCCTCCTGCCTCAACCTCCCAAGTAGCTAGCACTACAGGCATATGTCACCATGCTGCCTAATTATTTTATTTTTTGTAGAGAAAGGCTTCGTTGTCCAGGCTGGTCTTAAACTCCTGGCCTCAAGGGATTACAGGTGTGAGCCACTGCACCTGGCAAGTGTTTTTTTTGTTTGACACAAAGTCTCACTCTGTTGCTCAGGCTGGAGTGCAGTGGTGTGATCTCCGCTCAGTGCAACCTCCACCTCCCAGGTTAAAGTGATTCTCCTGTCTCAGCCTCCCGAGTAGCTGGAACTACAAGCATCTACCACCATGCCCGGCTAATTTTTTTTGTATTTTTTAGTAGAGACAGGGTTTCACCATTTTGACCAGGCTGGTTTCAAACTCCTGACCTTAAGTGATTCGCCCACTTCGGCCTCCTAAAGTGCTAGGATTACAGACATGAGCCACCGTGCCTGGCCTATTTTGTTTTTAAAGGGAGAGACTTTAAGGGCCCATCGTGTGATTTGGTGAAGTAAAGTGTTGGATGGCCACTCATCTGTTTGCTGCCTTGAAGATTCTGAGTGTTTCAGTAAACACAGTTTAAGTTGCTTGGTAAAATTCCAGGTTTTCTTTTAAATCAACCTCTTGCTGTGGAGCCTTCTGGGTCCCAACACAGCAGAGCACAGAGGACAGATGGTCTGTCCTGGGCCAGTGGAGACACTTCCAACAGGCCGTGGAGAGGATGTTAGGGCATCTATTGGTAGTCTGAAATGGAACCATAGGGTCTGGGAATTTGAAGTACCAGACACCCAGATGTCAGAGTGTTCTCAAGAAATCTTATTTTTCCCAGTAGTTTCATGTCCCTGTGGAGAGGAGAGGAGAAACAAGAGGCCAAATAATCTTCCTAATATAAAAGCTTTGCTTTTCCCTTCATCTGAATTAAGATAATGAAGAGAAAAACTATTCATTAAAGCACACTTTCAACAGAGGGGAGGAGAGTGGGCCTGAGCAAGCAGGGGATGGTTTACAACCAAGGCAGGCTCTGCCCCACAGGCCTCAAGCTCCCCACTGTGTTCCCAAAGCACACAGCAGCAGCGCACCGAAGGCCCACATTCTGTGCAAATCCATACAGGTGTGTTTTCAGCGTAGATAAGTAATTACCCAATTCCACCTCATGTGACCTCCCATGAAGTTAGGGTGGAGAAAATGAAAAATGAACTGATTCACCCCAGCAAGCTCCAGCGCCTCCCGGTCAGCAGCAGCGAGGGCTCCTGGAACATCTAACAGAAACACTGCATGGCTGACCCCAGGCCCAGTGCTGGGAGAAAGCCATTCATCAAAGAAACTAACATAGAGTCCAGCTCCGGCTCAAATCTATAACTCCAGCGACAGGAAATGGTTAGTAGTACAATAATAAAACTTGACTTCAGACAGTATGTGTCTTGAAGGGCTATGCCATCCCCTTGTCGTCTCTGGGGCCTCAGTTTCCACATCTAAAGTAAAGGGGTTAGTTGGGAGGCGGAGGCTACAGTGAGCCCAGATCGCACCACTGCATACCAGCCTGGGTAGCAGAGCGAGACTACGTCTCGAAAAAATAAAATAAAAATAAAGTGAAGGGGTTGAGCTCCGTGACCTCTAACTTCTCTTCCAGAATTTAAATTCTATCATTTTGATATGATTTCTCCAATCTCCATTTCTTTTAATCTCTTAAGGTTTGAGGCCTGCTTAAAGTCAGAATAAATGGAGTACAAAACAAGAGTGGATAATTTAGCATTGAGTAATTACTTCTGAAGCAAGAAATTATAAGCTTTCCTTCCTTAATAGAGACATTAGGCCGGGCACGGAGGCTCAAGCCTGTAAGCACTTTGGGAGGCCGAGGCGGGTGGATTACAAGGTCGGCAGATCGAGACCATCCTGGTCAACATGGTGAAACCTCGTCTCTACTAAAAATTACAAAAAATTAGCTGGGCACGGTGGCGTGTGCCTGTAATCCCAGCTACTCAGGAGGCTGAGGCAGGAGAATTGCCTGAACCCAGGGGGCGGAGGTTGCAGTGGGCCGAGATTGCGCCATTGCACTGCAGCCTGGGTAACAAGAGCGAAACTCCGTCTCAAAAAAAAAAAAAAATAGAGACATTAATGTTTTCTGTCGATAATGGACCAGGCCAGGGGTGTTCAACCTTTTGGCTTCCCTGGACCACAATGGAATAATAATAATTGTCTTGGGCGACACATAAAATGCACTAACACCAACAGCAGCGACGAGCTTTAAAAAAAAATCGCAAAATGATCTCATAATGTTTTAAGAAAGTTTACAAATTTGTGTTGGGCCACATTCAAAGCCATTCTGGCCACATGTGGCCGTGGTCCCATGGGCTGAACTAGCTTGGACTAGGCTCTTTCCATTTACTGGAATTCAGCCACTAAATGGGGTAGGGTTACATTCCTCCATCCTTCAGCTGCTATTGCTTCAAGTGACAAAATGACAGCCTCTGCCTCATAATAAACTGCCAATCATGTAACTGGTCAAAATCAAATCATTAGCTAATTCTGCATAATGAATTTCCTAACATTGTTGGTTTTTTGGTATCTTGATGGGCACAGTCTATGAATCCGGACCTTGCATTGTCAGGCACTGCTCTTTTGTGTGCATCTCTACTACTGCCAGTGTAACCTTTCATACCTGGACGTACACACCCAATGGCACAGAAAGGACATATTCCCCAACCTTTCCTACCAAGGAGATAGCACATTTTTTAGCCCAATTGGAAACACAGTTCTCCCCACACCGTGTCAACAAGAGAGAAGGGTGGAATTGCCTTTTGCTTTCTGGTTTTATTTTGGGGAGATTGCCTAGTAATGACAAAGCAGCTACAAGGAAGGAAAGTCGCAAGGCTCTTTACCAGCACCTCTGTTTGTAAAAGAGCCAGCGTTTTTATGTGGAGATTGATTGGGATTCAGTGTGAGGTGGCTGTTAGGCAGAGATGAACTATGCCGGGGCTTGTCTTATGACCTGTGACCCACTCTTGTTCTTTGCTTGCAGGGGGAGGAGAGAGCCATGGTAGATGAAATGGTCCAGTTACCTGGCACTTCAGGCCCTGCACAGATGTTAGATGGGCCACCTCCCTTACCACTCTGGTTCTGACAGAAATGGAAATAAAAACCACTACTAAACTCCATTTCCCATCCACCTGATAGTCAAAAATGTACATGTTGGATAATACCGAATTGCTAGGAACACACTGCTGCTAGGAATGTAACTAGGTGCAGCCAGTTGTGGGGTTAATTTGGCAGTATTCAATACACCTTTACTTGCAGGCTTTCATCTCCCCAGAAAAACACCAGCACAATTGTACAAAGAGAGGGCAGCATTTGTTTGTCACATCAAAACTAAGAAAAATAACATGACTGCCAATAAATAAGGAAATTAACTAATAAACCATGATCCATCCATCCAATCTGTGGAATAGTGCAGTAGTAATAATAAAGTACACCTACATGTACTAAACATGTAAGCTCTCTAAGACCAAGTGTCGATTGAAAAAAGAAAGCGCTGAGGAAAAATACATTGACTACGACACCTCTTATGTTAAAAAGCCAAGCAAACTGCATTTCTACAGAAACAACATATGTATGTAATTTCATAGCAAAAGGCCTGTAATGGCACACATCAAGAATTTTGCTTTTGAGGCAACTGTTAAAATAAATAAAATGAGGAAAAAGTAGGCCATAACACAGTACTATGCCAAGATTATAACTGGCAAAAAAAAAAAGTGTATTTTTTTAAAGTAACTTGTCAGAAACTACAGAGAATAAAAACAGCAGTGTTCTCTTCATTTAAGAAAAAAATAAAGCTGTCTTAACTATACATTGAGAAACACATTCCGAAAAACCAGTTTTCCAGTTATTTCTGACTGTTCTTTTAAATCTCTGATTTTAAAGGTATTTCTTAGATGAATAAAAGTACAAAAGATAGTAGTGTAGCAAGCTTCATCTTGATGAAAACATTAATGGCTGATTGCAAATTATTATGAAAGATGAAAACAGGCCAGGTGCAGTGGCCCACTTCTATAATGCCAGCACTTTGGGAGGCCAAGGCCAGTGGATTACCTTAGGTCATGAGTTCAAGACCAGCCTGGCCAACATTGTGAAATCCTGTCTCTACTAAAAATACAAAAAAATTAGTTGGGCATGATGGTGGCAACCTGTAATCCCAGCTACTCGGGAGGCTGATGCAGGAGAATCACTTGAACCTCAAAGGCAGAGGTTGCAATGAGCCAAGATTGAGCCACTGCACTTCAGCCTGGGCAAGAGAGAAGACTCTGTCTCAAAAAAAAAAAAAAAAGACTGACAGAAACATTACAGTCTATCTAGCTACACTGTTAAGATGAAGCACTTTATTTTCATTTTTGAAAATGCTATTTTGCAAAAGACCTAATTTGTTAGTAAAACTTGCAGTATATTTCATCATTATTGCCAATGTGTTTTTATACAGGCATTCTATCCAATGGCAGTCTGAACAATTCCCTAAATTAAGTCGGTTGTTTGGGAGATGTGCACTTTAGGCAACTAGATTTACTAAATTATCTTGTTAAATTCCTAAGTGGTCACCTACCTTCCCAAAGCAAATAACGAACAGAACTAAAATATACTATGTTTGAAACACCATAGAATAGTAGTATTTTATGACAACATAACATTTTATTATAAGCATGTAATATCATAATGTGTGCACAAATAGAGTATCTGGAATAAAACACAATTTAAAGCACTTCAAAGACCAAGAATCAGGCTTGGTTCCATTTACCCAAAAGAGGTTGTTACTTATAAATGAGGGCAACAGATTCTGTTCTCAAAATGTGCCTGCCACCCAAGGACCAAAATATCTGAAATTCTACCATTAAAGATCCATTTCTTTAGAATAAATGCCGATCTCCTTTTAAAATGCAGATAATCAGGAGGACTAAGGCACTGGTCCTAAGGACTAATAAAATCAATTTTATTTTACCATGTTATTTATCAAATCATATTCTCTCAAAGGAGGGAGGGGCAAGAAGGGAGTGGGCTGCTGAAAGTAAGAAAAAATTATGTATGTGTTTATGCACTTATTGTGTGAGGATGCTGGAGGGGAAATTACAACAGTCCAATCCTACGAAGCATACTGTTTCCTGGAATTACTCTTGACTGTCATCTTTCCACTGCAATCTTTCAAAAAAAACTATGGCAGGTTCAAAATTAGGAACACATAATAATTAAGGAGATCATGGAATTCCTGGACAACCAATGAAGGTAACTACAAATTAGTGAACACTACTCATGTACCAGATGCAGTCCCTTTACAAACACTATTTCACTTAATCCACACAAAAACTAAATGAAATGTATCCTATCACCTCTAACTAACAGTCAGGAAAACTAAGGTTCAGAGAGGGAAAGAAATTTGCCCAAGTCATGTTGCCGGAGGTCATATGGTTACTTAGTGACAACTCAGGTCTGAGACCACAGACACAGTACTCCTAACCATTATGCAATGCTGCCCCCTTCCAACAAATAAAAGGGAAAAGAATCTGGCCACACATGAGTGCTTAAGCCCAAAAGCCAACCACATACTCTGAAGGATACCTTTAAACTCATCTTTTCTTTAAATCACTGTATTTTGGTTAAGAAAGATAAAAATAACTTCTTTCCCATGGCGCTTTTTTGGCTTTTTGTACAAATAAATCCTCTTTAGAATGGGGTACTTCATCAGTAAATTGGAATCTGCTGGCAGATCTTTAACAAGTTATTTCCAGCAATCCTCCCTGACCCCTTGCTCCTAGCGGGACAACATATATATGGACCACATATATATCCTCACCATCCCCATGACCTTCAGACTTTAAGGAAATAAACATACTTATCAGCACCCCAAATCCAGGACATAAGTGTTAGACAACTGTGTATTACTTTCATAGAAAACATTTGGATAAATGTACTGTCATGTATGAATTCCAGTGACATGCCTGTTTATAGTGTCCCAGACGCCCCTGGTGCCAACTCTCATTCAACAGCCAACATCTCTGTGAAAGCATCACCTCACCTCCCTGTGACAGCAACCTGCATGGAGAGTAGACCATAGGCTACTTTCCACCCCAGGGCTCCTGTTACTGTCTTTCAAGTAGACAGGTGCAACTCAGAAGTGAGGGAGTTCAACACATCATTGAAAGATAAGAGCTGATGGGAAGGTAAATATTGTTTTATCCTCAGATTAATGATTCTGGGAGATTCTCTAGGAGCTCTGCCGAAAGCCCCAAATCTAACACCTGTTGCCTTCACAACTTTATGTTGGCTTTTCTTCCTCCCCCTGATCCTTCACTCTTACTCCTTGGAATAACAACCTGATATGCCATCAAAACACAAATCCTTGTTGTCTTCGGTTCTGCTTTTATGTGAAACCCAAAGTAAGACACAGATATCCTGTATATTTCACCAAGCAGCATCATATAGGGCTTGGGGGAGGCTTAAAGTCAGATCTGGGATTTAATTCCTGCTCTGCCATTTATTTGCAACATTCCTTAAGGGAGTAATTCTTTTGAGGCAGTTGGCTCAAATAACACCCAATGTTTTTTGTGAGGGTTGAAAAATAGAAATAAAGAATTTCAAAAGTCTCTTTAGAAACTTAAATTATATCAACCAAAATTTACACATGCACAAATAAACCCATGATATTGCTATGAAATGACCAATAAAACCAACAAATGTCTGGAAAATCTGACTATGAACACAAGAAAATAAACACACAGAAGAAAAGCAGTAAACGTGAGATGTACCTCCAGAACCACAGGTATAGCGTTTTTAAGAATTTAAGGGATCACCATTGCAATTTTATATTAAGTTTAAAATGAAAAATAGGCCAGGTACAGTGCCTCACATCTGTAATCCCAACACTATGGGAGGCCAAAGCAGGCGGATCACTTGAGCTCAGGACTTTGAGACCAGCTTGGGCAATGTGGCAAAACCCTGTTGCTACAAAAAATATAAAAAGTAGCTGGGTGTGGTGGCACGCACCTGTAATCTCAGCTACTCAGGAGGCTGAGGCAGGAGGATTAACTAAACCTAGAAAGTTGGAATGCAGTGAGCCATGATCACACCACTCCACTCCAGCCTGGGTGACACCCTGGGACTCTGTCTTAAATAAAAAGAAAAAAAAGGACAGGCACAGTGGCTCATGCCTGTAATCCCAGCACTTTGGGAGGCCCAGCTGGGCAGATCATGAGGTCAGGAGATCGAGACCATCCTGGCCAACATGGTGAAACCACCTCATGTCTACTAAAAATACAAAAATTAGCTAGGCATAGTGGCAACTGCCTATATCCCCAGCTACTCAGGAGGCTGAGGCAGGAGAATCGCTTGAACCCAGGAGACAGAGGTTGCAGTGAGCTGAGACTGTGCCACTGCACTTCAGCCTAGGTGACAGAGCAAGACTCCGTCAAAAAAAAAATGGAAAAAGAAAACTGGTATTTCTCTTTAAAAAATGACAAATAGCCAAAACTGAGGAAGAAAGCTTGTTTTTAAAAGATTACCATAAAAGAAACAGAAAAGTTAGTTAAAAGATTTACTCCCCCATCTCCAAAAGGACCCAGGCCTAGATGGTCATGGGCAATTTTATTCAAATACCAAGATGTGATCGTTCCTGTTACTTAAAATGTCTCAGAGAATAAAGGAAGATGAATGGCTTCTGTTTCATGCTACACATTCATTATAACCATGATATAACAACATTATAAGGATAACACAAACTAGGATAGAAAGCCAAGCTCATTTCTGGAACTAAGTCCAAAAGTTCTAAATAAATACAAGCAACCTAAATTCAGCAACGTACTAAAAGGATAACGCCTCATAACCAGGCAAGATTTATTCCAGGAATATAAGAACCATTCCACATTGGGAAATTCATTAATGTGACTTACTACATCAATAAAGAGAAAAACAATGTGATCATTTTGATACATGCAAAAAAGATACTTGATATCAAAATATTTTTTTGCATTTTTAAACACGCAAAAAAAATATAATGTCCGTACTTTCTTCTTTTCTTGCTATTTTTTTGGTGGTAAAATACATGTAAACATAAAATTTACCATCCTAACCATTTTTTTAAGCGTATAGTTCAGTAGCAATTAAGTTCATTCAGGCTGTTGTGTAACCACCACCACCCTCCATCTCCAGAACTTTTTATGTTCTCAAGCTGTAAGTCTGTACCCATAAAACAGTAACTCTCCATTCTCTCCTCCCCTCAACACCCAGCAACCACTACTCCACTTTCTCTATGTTTTGACTACTCTAAGTACTTTACATATGTGGAATCACACAATATTTGTCTTCTTGTGAATGACATAGGTAACTTAGCATAATATCCTCAAGGTTCACTTGTGTTGTAACAAGTGTCAGATTTTCCTTCCTATAATACTGCATTGTGTGTGTGTGTGTGTGTGTGTGCGCACATGCGCCACATTTTCTTTGTCCACTATCTGTTGATGGTCACTTGGGTTAACTCCCATTTTATATTGTGAATAATGATGCTGTGAACATGAGTGTACGAATATCCCTCTGGACCCTGCTTTCAATTCTTTGGGGTATATATCAAGAAGTGGAATTGCTGGATCATATGGTAATTCAGGTTCATATTTTGAGGACCTACCATACGGTTTGCATAAAGGCTACACCACTTTGCATTCCCACCAACAGTGCCCAAGGGTTCCAGTTATTCCACATCATTGTCAACATTTGTCTTTTTTTTTTATAGTAGCCATCCTAATGTCTGTGAGGCAGTATCTCATTGACATTTCTTTTTGCATTCCCTAATGATTAGATATTGAGCATCCTTTCATATACTTATTAGCCATTAGTATATCTTTTTTGGAGAAATGTCTATTCAAGTCCTTTGGCAATTTTTGAAATAGGTTGTTTTGCGCTTGCTATGTTTTGGCAAATCTGTATATTTTGGATATTAATCCCTTATCAGACATACGATTTGCAAATATTTTCTCCCATTCTGAAAGCTGTGCCTCTTAAC